TAAATTAGCCTTCAAAAAGCTCAACCACCTCAACCCGATTGTTGCAAACCAAAGTTGTCCAAGGAATCTTTGTGTAGCCTTTAATGGTAATCCACACCAATGAATTAGAAAATCCTTTTTTAAAGATTGGGAGTGCTATGCCTTGATAATGTGCTAGTAAAGATGAGTTTCATAAACTCATAATCCACATAAAAATTTGGGGTTGCACACACAAAAGAAATCAAGTGGATAAAAAACTATTTTTTTCACATAAGGGGGGACAAGGCCAAAGGAATTTCTAATGTGCTATTTTTCTAATTTTTTAGCCACTTTTTTATTTTTTTTGGAGGCTATAGCAAGGTATTTATACCATGGATTAATTTTAAACCCTAATTACAAGCTATAGTGTAATTGCCAATTAAGCCAATAATTAGATTAAATAATTTAACCAAGTCTTTAAGAAGCTTAGTTAACTTAACTATTTAATTTAATCAATTAGGCCCAATAACTTAATTAAATAATTTAATTAATTAAGCCTAATAACTTAATTAAAAAATTTTAATCAATTAGGCTCAATGACTTAATTAAATAGTTTAATTAATTAAGCCAAATAACTTAATTAAACAATTTTAATCAAGTACTTGAGAAGCTCATAACTTCTAACTTGATTAAGTTTAATTTAATCACATCTCCCATTTTATTTTTAACATTCAGTTTTGGTGTGTGATCTATTAGACTTCTAACATGTTAGCAATGAGCTTAATATATAATTCTTAAGTCAAACTTAGAATTATATAAATTTAAATTACTTTAACTTTATCATTAATTAAATCAACTACCTAGAGTTCATAGACCAAGATTGAGATTTAGCAATCCATCATGGTCACCCAAATGTTAAAATAGTCAAGATGGTTTGACTCAACCTTGTAGTGTAATTCATTCTCTCATCATATATCCCATAGATGATAAGAGCATGATGTAGTGTCTACTCTTATTGATCTCCATATTCGTTCTTGAAGTTTGATTATTAGCTTTATAGAAACTTATGAAACTCCTTTCATAATCTCTAAGTCACGTTGGTCAAAGACTTCAATAAACTAATATCAACCAAGAACTGTTAGGATCAGTCCCCTGAATCACTTAAGGTGATAACTCCTTTCTTGACTACTTATTTGCCTTCACATGCTTTATGCTATATCCAAAAGCATCATGTTTTGGCATCCTTGATTAAGCACTAGTAAGGATGAAATCAAAGCATAGCACTCCAGATACAAGACAACTTGGTGTCTCAAGTTTAGAGAGTATTTACATAACTAACACCAAATGCTCTTCTCATGGTAAGTCATGTTTAGTGAACTTGCTCTCCTAGGCAAGCACTTACATGCTAGTTTAAGGTATCTCTATACTTCAACTTATAACATCGATTGCTTACTTTCTAAGTATCATTGTGGCAAACTTTAGTATTAAAGGAGGAACTACAATGAGTACCTAGCTATTGTGAGCACGTAAAATAAGTGTAATGAAGTTTCTAATTCAGGTACCATTTGCAAAATAATTCTACTTTATATATTAAAGGTATATGATACTTCAAAGTTGGTTCTCATACGTTTGACATATTGCAGGGACCAAAGATAATTATGAGTAGGATCTTGGTTGAGAAGGTGACCACATGGATGGACCACCTAAATCATTAAATGCTACATTGGATGGTTAGACTCTTATTTATTTTGACATATTGGATAATTTATTGGGATGTTTTTGAAACATTAATTATGTTGTTGCCATGGGAATGGCTGGTGAAACATTGGTCTTTAGCATTTGGATGTGGAAGCTTATATGTTTCAAGTTTGAATAATTATTTTGAATAATTATGTTATATTTAATTATCCTTGCTTCATGTTTATCCTTGCAATGATATTTGATCAATTATGAATTATGTTCAATTTATCAAAAGGTTGAATATTGATTCATGTAAAATGGAACATTTTTAAGAACAAAACATACAGATGAATGTTCAAGAAAGAAAACAACTTCACATTGCGATATGATTTGGTCTATATCTCTCCAACATATAAAGCCCATTGTGATATTTCAAACTAATATGATTCCAAACATACATTGAAATGTATGTATATGTGTAACATCATGGAATATTCAAAAGAGTTTGAATATTACTCTCATAAAGGATCTTGGATTTAGTAGGAGCACAATGACCAAAAAAAAAAGTCAAATGGCATAACACAGAGTGACATATCCATATGACGCATACAACACAGTATAGCTGGAATGGTTCCAATAAGCAAAAAGGGATTATACGGGTATATAAATAAAGTCATATACATCCTATTAAAAAGAGCTCTAATAGGAAGATATTTAGATTGCTAGTCCATGGAACTGATAAAAGGTTCTGAACATTGCTAATGCAACAATAGAGCCATACTAGTAAAACTTGGGTCTCATCGGATCTAGATATAGTCATATGATATAATGTGATGCATGGACATCATGAAGATAGATAAAAGCAATTAGCCACATTGAAGGGCACAAACAAGTCTACATGGAGACATGATTGCTAGATGGATTGAATCTATATACAATGAGGTAGTAATTGGCTTTATGCTAATGGGTGATGTTGGGATGAGCCTTATAGCTAATTGAGATTACTTAATGCTTGATTACAATCATGCAACAATATCATTCATGTTAAATTATTAGAGGTTTTCTTTCATCAATAAGATGTTAATTATAAAGGGTTATATGTCTAATTGGATGAAGTCTATAAGATTAATATGCTTTGTAAAGGAATTATAATGGGTTGCAGTTATGATATCCCTATGCATCAAAGCATAATCTCTAAATGTTTTTGGTCGATGTATCATTGAGACTGAACATCAATGATACCTAAAGACTGGTACATTCTATGTTCCTTACTTAAGAAGCAAGCAATCGATCTCATAGGTTGAAGTATAAAGATAATTAGAACTAGAATGTAGGTGCTTGCCTAGGAAAGTAAGTTCATTGAACATGACTTGCCATGAGAAATGCATTTGGTATTTCACTCAAGTGTCAATGTAATACTTTTCATGTCTCAGTTGTGTAAATACTCCTTAGACTTGAGACACTAGGTTGTCTTATATGTGAAGTGTTATGCTTTGATGCATAAGGATATCATAATTGCAACCTATTACAGTTCCCTTGCAAGACATATTAGTCTCATGGATTTCATCCAATTAGATATATAACCTATTATAATTAATGTTTTATTGATGAAGAAAAACCTTTAATCATACAATATGTATGATATTGTTGCATGATTGGAATCAAGCCTTAACCAATTCTAGTTGATTGTAGGGCTCATCCCAACAGATACATTAATGCTCCAATTACATTAAGATATATCACTTTAGGTACACAAAGTTCTTCATCATCCTTACGAGGTTGAAAAAGGTCTTTTTTCATATCTAGCAACCTTACAACCATTAGTGAACTTAATGAATATATTTTGTCCATATAGAATTGTTTTAGCACTTTTATTATAGAATTTGATTGATGGATAAAAATTTCATTTGTTAAGTGCTCAATCTGAAGACTTAAACAAAACTTTGTTTTTCTATGGTCTTTCATCTCATATTCTTTCTTTAAGTAATCTAGAGCTTTTGATAACTTTTTGGGAGTTTTAATAATATTCAAGTTATTAACAATTATGAAAAATTCATATCCAAATCTCTTTACAAAAACACATGGGTATCTAAGATCATTTTCTAACATTCTTTTAACAAATATTCACTAAGGCAATTATACTATATGCATTCGGATTGCTTTAATTTATATAAAAATTTATTTAATTTAATCAAATAAATTTTTTAAGAATTCAAATTTTGTGCTTCGGGCAACTTAAATCATTTAAGGATTCTCATATAGATATCATTATCAAGTGAGCCATATAAATAGGTCATAGTTAAATTCATTAGATGCATTTCAATCTTTTTATGTATTACCAAACTAATTACCTATCGAAATGTAATTACATCTTCCACAAAAGAATATGTCTCTTCATAATCAATACCAAGTCTTTGGGTAAACCCTTATGCGACAAGCCGTGCTATTGATAACTCTATTATATAAAATTATTTTGACACAGTTTGGGGGCTTAAGTAGTTAGATCTGTGAGATTTTAGATTCGAATTATAGCATTTTAGGTATTTTTCTAGTTTAAATTTGATTACATGTTGAGTAGTTAATTTAAGTTATTTTAGCTAAAAATTATGTCATTTTGTTTTAAATTCTTAAGAGTAGTATTGGTAATGTCCCTTATTGTTTTTGTAGAAAATTTGATAAAAAAGACTCATTTGATGAAAATCTGTGCAACTATGGTGATGACTTTATTCGTATATGTTGTGGTATTTTGATCATATCTCTCTCTATAGAACTCCAAATGAAGTGATTCTTGGACACTAGATTTCTAAGAAGAAAGGTTACAACTTTTATATTTACCACTTCACCCAGTTTGGATTGGATTGTAATCAAAATATTTTTCTAATTTGTAGCACTGAAGTAGTAGGCATAAACTAAACATGATGTAGTATTTGGAGCATATCAATTGATTTAATTATGATTTTTACATTATACTTTGTATTAGTAACGTGCTACACTGAATAAATATTTATAACTCAAAAATCTTCAAATAAACACAAAATCCACCATTTTTTTATATAAATTATTTGAGTTTTTGTGTAAGTTAGCTACTCCCTTTTCTAATTAGTTAGTAAATTTGGATTTAATTAAATAAAATTGTAATTAGTTATTAAAATTTTAATTATTTAACAAAATTGTAAGTATAAAATTTTTATTTATTACTAGAAAATGGGTTGAATTTTTAGTGCCTTCGAGGCTTCCAACTCAAAGTTAGCTTGAAATTGTAAAAGTTAAGCCCATTTCAGAATCCAAAACCCACAAGATTAAAAAAAAAAAAGAAATAAAAATGACAGCAGAATTAAATTGGGTTAACGGGTTTGGCTAGACTGATTTGGGTCCTTTCAAGGAGTCAGTATTTTGCTGCCTAAGACTAAAACCCTTTTGTTTACTGTTACTGTAGAAGGAGCAAAAGAAAGAGCGAGAGAATGGCAAGCGAGGACGAGAGCGCGGTGAAGGAGCCTTTGGATCTCATAAGGCTTAGCCTCGACGAGCGTATTTACGTCAAGCTCCGTTCTGATCGTGAGCTCCGTGGCAAGCTCCATGTATGTTTTCATTTTTCACTTTCATATAAAACTCTAGGGTTCCCTGTTCTTGCACCTTGAATTTTTAATGTTTAAAATTCCTTTTTAGGGTTCCTTATTTCTGTGTTTTTTCTTTTTTTTTATGAGTTTAATAAGTATGAACTAGCCCTCGAGGATATTGCAAACTCATGTTGTTTATTTATGGAAATATCATTGCATGAGTATGCGTAAATAATGTCTAAACAGTATCCTTTTGCCCCCGAAATTTAGTGACTGTCTTGTGAAATTGAGTTGCTGCCATGATGCAAAATTTTGGGTAATGAGTAAATGTTCTGTTTGTGGACAGCTTGAGATGGAATTATTCTGCGGTTAGACTTGTCAGTCAATTTATTGGATAGTTGTTAAATGTGAAAGTTTTATGTAAGATACTGATAATCTAATTTCTATTTTTGTCTTTCTGATCACTCTGTTCTTCCATGTAAGTCTGTGTGTCTACTTTTTTACTATTAGCTACCTGATATCTTTGGTCATACCAACTCGGTATCAAGTTAAGCTGCTGTCTGAAGTTGTGTTGTATCAGAACAGTATGATTTTAAAAATGAAAATGGAGTTGTCATGTTTCTTGACTCCAACTTTCTCCTACTTGTTTTCCTCCTTTCTCCCTTTAAGTAAACTCTATATGTTTATATCTTCCTACTTTTTATCTCTTTTAATTATTTCTTTATATGACATAATAGTTGATGAACTGCTACTTAATTTCTTTTGTAGTGTTTTCATATTTTTTTAATGATAAAAAATGATACTTTATTTATTTTTATCCACAAATGTAGTGGCTGTATAACAACTAGTTGTATTGGGGGGTGGAATGTTGGTTTAATCAGAACGTGTACGACATGATTTTGTAGTTATTGTTAATTATCCATTCACTGGTTTTAGTACATGCGGCCATTCATCTGTTATAATATTTCTTTAAAGTCAATGTTCTGTGGTGAGGCTTATTTGCTTAATTCTAGCCAAATTACCACGTGAAGTGTAGGCAATGATATGAATACACATCACTTTGATTATCCAAAAAGACTTTGTCATGCTTAATGGTATTAATTTATCATTATATTCTTACTACTTGCTGATATGATCGGCCATAATGTTCAGAACCTTGTAGCTCCTCAGTTTGATGCCTATGTCTTCTCTAACGTGGCTTGCAGGCTTATGATCAGCATTTGAATATGATTCTAGGGGATGTTGAAGAGATCGTTACCACAGTTGAAATAGATGATGAAACCTATGAAGAGATTGTTCGGGTAAGTTATTGTTTTACTGTTCCCTTAATTTGGAATTTGAGGAATATTTATTTGAAAGCTAATAAATAAGTAGAGATAATTGCTGAGTTTAATAAGGTTTGGCTGTAGTGACAATTGGTAACTTGAAGAGCTATGATATGTTGTTTCAGTAACACCCCTTCCCCCCATATTTGCCATGAAGGATGCTTTATTTAGTGTTAGCATTTATAAAGTTGTTTTAACTTATCATTGAAACTTGTTTCTAGTTTCATTAGAAGAAAGAGTGCTTCCTCATGAATGCAAATCGCGCTCATACTGAATTTAATTGATCAGTTTTGACTATGATTCCTTACAAGGATACTAATGAAGGAACACCTTTCAAATTGTTTTTGTCAAGTGATGAACTATAAACTATTTTCTCTTGATAATACAAGATTCTGGATTTGGAATGAAAGCAAACATAAACTGGAGATTTTCAAGTGAAATGAGTTTCTGAATTAAAAAAGAAATTTGGGTTTGTTGTTTCACGTTTTTGGATGATGACTCAATTTTTTCCCTTCAATCTCAGACTACAAGGCGCACGGTTCCCTTTCTCTTTGTTAGAGGAGATGGAGTCATACTGGTTTCTCCACCTCTTCGGACTGCTTGATGAGGAGAATGAAGTTTCAAGCACACTTTCTGGGAAGGAATCACTTTAGGTCAAATTTGCAACTAAGCTGCTATTGCTGTATCATTAACCCTCTAAACAATTAACTGTGGAATATTTGCACATTTTTAGATGATTAGGCAATAGACTGTGTTTATATATTTGTATGAGCTACTATGTCAATCTCATCCTTTTGACGAGAGGGACAATGGGACCAACTCTTTTCACTGTCTGCTTAAGTTGATAATGTAGACCATTTGCACATGAATGGCCAGTTATGCCATGCCATTACCGGTGCTGGGGCTGAAATGAATGAAATTGTTTTGACTAGATTAGACATCATTTTACGATTAATAATCGGTATGAGCTGTCCATGTCAGAGTCTCACCAGTTTGGCTGAATCAAGCTTTGTGATCGATACAATCACACAATTCTGTTTGCATTTTTGCTTTGGACCATTGTAGCGGCGGTACTGTGTTTATCAAGTCGGCTCTTGGATGACTACCCCAGTATGCTGTGTTGGATTAATAATACTGTGGAAAACAGCGCTTGGAGCGTCACCGTAAGCACCAAAGCATCCAGCCTATCTTTTTTGAAAAAGCAATCAGCAAAGAATCAAAGGCAAGAGAGTGAAAATTACTAGCAGAATTAAAGCAGCTAACCTTGAGTTTCCTTGTCACATAGCAAATGTTCAAATGTTGTTGGAAAGAAAAAATCACATTATTTTGTAATTAATATATGGTGTAAAATATAATATCCATTTTAATACGATCAAGTCATGGAGCAGTAAGATAATATAATCTTATTAGGAAAAAGGATTTTTGTTGGCTGTGCTATTTCAGCCCAAGTAGGAAGAAAGAAAGGGCGGCCCAATGCACGTGTCTGTGCATTTAATTAGTCTACAACTAAGAATTGTTTCATTTGAATTTTCTTGGTAACAACTAACAAACCCAAGCGACCCTGTTTCTGCGCATCTCTGTGCAAGGTAACTTTCTTCAATCTTCACTTTTTCTTTTAATTCATGCTTCTATTGCTGGATTAGATCAGTAGTTTGCCCCCAATCTCCAGATTATTTAAATTTTATGGTCATCATCATCATCATTTCCATGATTTCTTGCATCTTCATTGATGATACTGTTCCTTGTGCAGAAAGCAATTTAAGAAGGCCATTTGGCAATTAACTGTGCTACTAATTTTCCCCAACATGTGAGTTTTTTTTTTGGGGTAAATTTAACCATCTTTAATGTTTTTGATTAAGGTTGCTTTAATTTTGCTGATGTTAATTATATATATATATATATATGTTTTGAAAAGCAAAGTTAATTATATAGTAAACTGAAAAATTCGTCACCTTGGTTTGATTTAAAGATGACATAATACTGATCTATTAGCAAATTATGGTTTCTTCAATTTTAGATTGTATAGGCAATTCTTACTTGATAAGTGGTGCAGGGCCGACGAGGAACCAACGGATCAAAAGAAATACCTTGAGGACATTTGCAAAGCGCAATGTGCAAAGCCTATGCATGATTATGGGGTGAAGTATTTTTTCACTTTAGATCTTCAACCATGTCCATTTTCTTTATCTTCCATTTTAGCAAAGTGATAAACATATAAAAGCAACTGATACCTTGCAGTTCTAGCAAATAACATGTTTTCATAAATAATAGTACATTGAAAAGAAGAAGTTGGCTAAAGCGAAGGCAACTTGTTTGTAGCTTCTTGGCATGTTAAAGTGGTTTGAATCCCTCCTCGCTTAACTTGATTATCAGAAAAAAAAAGTATAATTAAATCATATTAAGGTTGCTAGTTGCTACCAATGATTTATGGTAGTTTGGATTTATGTCATCCATATATATATATAGGCTTTTAGCATATGCTGCTAATTTCAAACAAAAGCATCAGCCACAATCGTTATGGCAATCGAAACCATATATCTGCAGTTATATTTATGTTGTAAATAGGTATATAAGTAGAGTTTGGAATCACAAAAATGTCTTTTACCATTCAAACTCTCTATTTAAACTTTGGGTTTCTTCTTTCTTTTCGAATTTAATCTTTGTCATTAGAAAGTTGTTATTTGCTTAGTGATTAGTACTGAACTTGGACTTGAGAATTCGCATGTTTTTCCCACTTGACTTTGTCCTTTAAAACTATGCTTATATGATGTAAGCTTATTATGCTTATTGCAGGAATGTGTTAAGAGGGTTTCGGGTGATGAAAGTGGAAGCAAGCACTGCACAGGACAATACTTTGACTACTGGACTTGTGTTGATAAATGTGTAAGTTGTCTTAACTGCTTTAGTTTGGTTGCTTCTTTTCTAGTTTGTGGTTTGAATTTGGTGCTATGGAATTAATGCAGGTGGCGCCAAAGCTCTTTGCAAAGCTGAAGTAATTCTGGGAGGTTGCTAAGGATGCTTATTTCCCTGCTTAATTTATTCTTTTTCTCGCCTAAATATTTACTCTTAGCTCAATGTTTGGTTGCCTAAATTCCTTCTAAAATTTTAAGGGTGTTTTCCCCTATGAGAATAAAAGATCTTTTACACTCAAAATATCTTTTGAATGTTTCATAAATGCCCTTTAATTAGAAATTCGAAAGGATTTGCATAGGAACATTCTTTGAATTTAACCTGGAAATGGGGTTAAAAGCACAGGGATATTGCTTCGTAAAAGTCGAACAATTAAAGATTGCTAACATTGGAGCTGGCTACTTAAGGGCCTAAATCATATATTAGCTTGTTGCCTGAAGCAAATGGTTTTGCCATAACTCTAAAAGTCAAAAAGTAGGAAATATATTCACACCATAACCAAAAAATATTAAATCCCTTTTACCTATTTTATGCTTTGCATCTCTTCCTTGTGTTTTCTTCTCTCATTTACGTTAATTTTAAAAGTCGACGTAACATTAAATAAATTAAATGTAATTGCTTTTATTTTCCTTCTGTTTGTGGAATTGGACCCACAAACGTTGACAAAATAAAATTAGCTATGACAAAATAGAATTAACTATTCATAGGCCTTTGGCAGAAGCAAAGAATAAGCATTGGCTCCAATGCCTAGTGGCGACACACACGACTCTTAGCAGCATTGCTATCAATTTTAATATCGATGAATGAATTTCAAACTCATTGCTGCAAGAGTGATTGACTGCATGTAGTAATACACTAATACTTTTCCAGTTCAATTCAAATCCATCTAAGATCTCATCTCATCTCACTCTCTTTCAAATTTATGTGTATTCAAAATTTATGAGAATGGTAGTGTTGGCATATGTCTTTGAGCCAATTAGATTGATCAAGGAATATATATTATCATTGAATACATATTTAATCATATAATTTTATGTGATAGAAGTTTTCCTTTATATTAGTGCAATAATATAGAGTTATTAAGTACTAATTGGATGAAGCCCGTGGAATATAAAAACCTTGCAAGAGAATTATGAAGTTGTTATAATTATGAGATCACTATGCATCAAAGCCATGCTTCTAAAATTGTTCCTGGTCATTGTATTGTCAAGACAAGGCATTGACAATGCTCAAAGACTAGTACATGTTAAGCTTCCTTATTTGGAAAGTAAGCAATCGATCTCATAGATTGAAGTGTATGGGATACTTGAGGATAACATATAGGTGCTTGTTAAAGAACAAGTTCACTGAACATGAACTCCATTTGGTATTTTACTTAAGTGTCTATGGAAAATATTCTCATGTAATAATCGTGCAACTAATCCTTAGACTTGAGACACTAGGTCATCTTGTATAGAGAATGATATACTTTGATTTCACCTCTACAAGTTTGGAAGCAACCAAATGCCTAAACAGGGTATTTTTGGGTATATCATGAAGCATGCGAAGGTGACTGAGTGGTCAAGAGAGGATTCATCACCCCAAGTGATATGAGGGATGTATCTAATTTATTTTTAATTCTTGATTAACTTGTATAAAGTCTTTAGTCAAAGCATGATGAATTTGAGAAAATTTGGTTTCCTAAATTCATAAGGTTAGTCATGAATTATGAGAACTAATATGAAATGTCATAAGTAGACACCGAGCCATGCTTAATGACATATCCGGGATATTTGATGAAAGGATCATATTGCACTGAAAAGCTTATCACTGAAGGGCTTTGTCAAATACTTTAATTGACTCTCTAACATTTGGGTGGTCATGATATATTGCTATATGCCATTCATAATCTATAAATATAAATTAATTATCAAATTGATATTTGATTATGATTTATATTTATTGCTAATATGTTAGAAGCCTAATGGGTCACACACATTAAGTGACATGATTGAGATTAAATAAGGATAATTAATTAAGTTGACTTAATTGAAAGTGATCAAAATAAAGTGAGAAATTAATTAAGTTCTCAGAGACTTAATTAAATTAAAATACAACTGTTGTATTTAAGGTTACAAATTAGTTTGGCTATATAAATATGTTATATTAGCAAACTAATAACTTGAAGCCTCTAACTATTTTTCAGCTGGTTCATAAAATAAGAAAAGAAAAATAGTTTTCTTTGTCTGACAAAAATAAGATTCAGCAAAAATTTTGGTCCTTTGGTTTTAGAAATAAAACTTGCTAGTACAAGTAAAATCCTACGTTGGAGAAGGTCTTATTTAGTCACTGTGTGAATTACTGTTAGAGGCCAAACACTTGGGTGGATGAAAATTTGATGATCTTAAAGGTGAAGAAGCAAAGATTTTTGGAATTAATTGGCTCTTGATTATGATATCTAAAGCAAGATATGTAACTTTTAAACCTATGAGTGTTTATAATTTATTTGAAAGTTACATGAAAAACACAAATATTGATCCTATAGGATTCGACTATTTCTCTGATTAAATATTATTTTTATTTTTTCGCTACGTTATATTTTAATTTATTGATTATCATGAGGTCGAATCCTAACAAGAAAATGGTCAGATAGCTTCCCTTTAGCTATGAAAGAGGACTCCTTTGGTTAGGATAGAAAGAGAATAGGCCTCCCTCCCTATGGCCACTAAGTTTTCCAAATCGAGGGGCTCCACCTTTTAACCCTCGAAAAGAGTTTGGCACAAAATTCGACCAAGCTCCCTTTAAGATGGTAGGTCCTACAAGAGGTCCATAATAGCAAACTCAACCTTCTCTAATCACATGCATGTAACCCCATGCATTCCATGTCATTGAAGCCACCTAAGAAGACCCGAGTTGGCTTAGGAGAAATGTTTTGTGTACTCTGATTAGTTATGTGGACTATTACACCTTGTAAGATGCGTTTGCCTTGAAATGATTTCAGTGTGCCTTTAACCCAATAGGAGGCAACACGGTGTTCATCACCTTTTGCCTCCA